GGACCAAAACACTTCTGTTTTTCTTCAGTCTCTTAATATATGCCCAAATCAGATAGATGTTTTTTTTCTTAAGGAGGTGGGATAGTCCACTAGCTATCCTCCTAGCAAAAGAAATTTGCTAGGAGGAGACCTAGAGCCAAAAACATACGGGAATAAGAATGCTTTAAACTCCTGTATCATAAAAGACACAAAAGCATATCTCAGTTCCCCACTAACTGTTATTGAGGTCCCATGTGCCACATTGAGAGAGGATATAAATGGTGATTTATAGTGCAGTAAGAGTGATGCCGAACACCCACTGTGATATACGAAGGTCAGCAATAAATGTTGGCGCCATTGTCTAACAAGAGGAGGGATGTGTTTTCGAGAATTTGGAACCCATGAACCTTCAGAGGCGCAGAACTGTGGGAACTGTTTTCCCAGTGAGTTTAAGCCATCGCAGCTGGAAAGCTGCCAGCCTGTAAAAACTCTGTCCCATAATCGGTTGAGCATCTCCTGATATGGTTTAGAAAGAATTCTGCCCATTAGCTACTGAAGATATTTTACATGTCAGTGGTTCATAAAGGGCTAAAGTAATTAGAAATGCTCCATGCTGTGTATTGTAATCTTTCTCTTACAGATGCCAAAGCTATTGAGAATTTGTAATCTGAAAAGGCAAATCAGTTCCCAAAAGATTTAGAACTTTTCTCCACTAGTAATTGTACTGGGGAGCTTAAATATTTTAAATTTCACATTAAGAACGACTGGAATATTTGCAAGCTGCTAATAAAATTTAATTCTATTACATTTAACTTGAGAGCAGCTATGGTGAAAGCATGCTGTCCTTAAAACATTGATAGTGGAGTGTCTTCATAAGAGAGATCAAAATTAAGTCTATTATCTGAAGTATGGAATAACAATATCACAATATCATGAAGAATTACATGCATAGCTTAAGCCAGAGTTGAACAGAGTGTGGCTTGCAGGCTGTATGGAGCCTTCCAGGTGCATTTTTGTGGACCCAAGCCTCCCCACTCCATAGGGAAAAAACGTATTTATGTAAAACAAGAGTGTTGTGGGGGGGGGGTTGCTTCTGGAGGCCTCCAGTAGATATTCCTTTGTGGGCTTGAGGCTTACTCTTCCCCCAAAATAATTTTTTAAAAAGGAAAAGTGCTCTGGTACTTCCTGTATCCCTTTTTAAAACAAATTTTTAAAATGACAATTTCATTCTACATACAGAGAGGGCTGAGGGTACAATTTTGGTCTCCAAGTCCCCTGGGGCTGCCAATCCCAGTTTAAGCTTTTGTGTGCGTTGCACACATAGGAGACTGCATATAATACACCTAAGTTCTCCAACATTTGACAAGTATTGAGAGTTGCTATATATGGTGTGCATATGTACACGTACACACCACAGAGCTTCTCAAGAGGTTTTCACAGAATTAAACAGTCCAAAGTTTCATGTGCTACCCATGGGCCTCTGTGGCCCCTTTCTCAAACCTGCAGTTCTCTGTTTTGTTTTCCTCTCGCTTGGTCTATACTGATTAGGCTTGTAAATAGCCAGTTGCCCAAGCACCTGTGAAAACATCTCACCCCCATCCTGGCAAACCTCTGCACATCTTGTTGTTTTTCTTCAAGACCTTTAGTGATTCATAAATAACTGGCAGGGCATACTTGGGAACAGCAGGGTAGTCATGTATCTTGGATAAATGGCTTCTTGCTTTGTTCAGAACTCAAATTGCTATAATGTATGTGGAAGAACATAATGTATGTTGAAGAAGCTGGCTGGGTATCTGAGTGGTTTAGGTTTCTGGTTGTGGGGCCAGAATATGGGAGTTTGATTCCCCACTGTGCCTCCTATGAGTACAACCAGCCCGTGTGGCCTTAGACAAGCTGCACAGTCCCAAGATGCCCCAGAAGAAAGGAATGATAAACCGCTTCTGAGTATTCTCTACCTGAGAAACCCTGGAAAGGGTCACTATAAATTGGAATTGACTTGGCAGCACATGTTTATAGTATTATGTTGATGAAACATTACAGCTAGCCATAGCACTGAATCCAACAGTACCTCTCTGTTGTTACCAATGTGTTTTACCTCTGTTCCAGACCATTGGGTAACCCTTCAGAACTGTGGTTACATGGGGAATTTGTTTAAAATGGGCTCCTTCCCTGTTGTGCTGGCAGCAACCTCTTCTGGCTCAAAGAGCCTTCCTCCAGCAGAGTAATGCAACAGATGCAATCCACACCATGCTCATGATTCACTATACTAGTATGTGTGTCACTTCATAAAGGATAATACTGATAAATACAGGTTTTTCCTAGTTGTGCTGCAGCATAGAACATGTTGTACTGTGTTGTGGGAGGGATCAGTACAGATCCTTCCCACATCTAGTGTACAGGTGGAGCCATTTTGGCTACATATGTATACACGTATGCCTGCACAATAGAAAAGGAAGAAATGATCTGTCTTGTTTCTCAGCTTTGTGGAAAGAGGAGGGTAGCTAATACAGTATTTGATTAAACCAATTGTTCTCATTTTAGAAGTCAAGCAAGAGATCTAAACACGGAGTACCACCCTGCTGAGTTGTGTAGGAGGAAAAGATGGCATTCAGAGGGCAAACTCATGGAGTTGCAAAATTCCTTTTTAAATCTTGTAAAAGGAATCTGTGAGCTGTTAGGGGAGGGATATCTCTAGAGCCTATATTCTTCTCTACTGAAACCTTTCTAAGGAAACAAACCCTGACATTCGGAAAGCACATTTCAAGAGTTTGGAGCATTTCACAAAGTCTTCAGTTCTTGCGATGAACCTTGACAGAAACCGGACTTAGGAGAGCCTTATTATACATTATAAAGGGATTGAATTGCTTAGATTGTTTTGAATCAGTTTAGATTGGTTTAAATTGCTTTTTGATATATCTGCCCCTAAGGTTGCATAATAGAAAGTGAGATACAATTTTTTTAAAAATAAATATTATTATTAGCTGAAATTGTGCTGAGTAACAATGCTTGCATAATTTAATGTAATGCAAGTGGTAGTGCTCATGCTGCCAAGGTGGAAGTGTCATTTACAAAGCAGTTCCACAGGCAAACTGTGCAGTCGGTTGAAATGGGAACCATGCAACTGATTGTGTGATCAAATTGTGCCATCCTTGTTGCCTGGATGGGAAGCCTGACACATTTATGCAGGTGTAGCATGGTGTTGTTGTACCTAGACAGGCAGGATTCCAGCCATTGTGTTTTATTAGATGAAGGCAGGTTTGCTAATTTATAAAGGAAAAAGAAATATTGCTTTAAATGACTTGCTGGGATATTTTAATTAAATTTGTTTTTTTTCTATATATGGATAAAAATGTGCATCATCACATGAAAACATAAACTATTGCCTACATCCAGTTTCTCATCACAGCTTGTGTAGAACCAGCCACTGAATGGGGAGATAGCATTTCTGTACATCTGAGTGATGCAGTGGATCCACTCTAGCTGGGACTTCATTTCACTGGTTCACAATTAGTAATGCATAAGAGACTGCAGGAGGCATGTAGGTCACTTCTCTGTAGCTGCCCTAGTGGACTTGACTGGGTGAGGAGAAATAAGTGTCAAGGCTGATACAGTCAACAGGCCATCATGACAAACTGCTTCATTGTGTGGCCCTATTTGCAGTGGCTTCAGCTGTGGGCAGTTTATCAACCAGCCCTTTAAGAGAAGAGTGATAAATTTGTCAGTATCCTGAGGTGGCTTGCTTATTAAGCCATGTCATGGTAGGAGGCATTTCCATGTGAACAGTCAGGCTGTCTATTCCCAAGCATGCCATGCTAGCTCAGTGCCTGTTGTTAGCGTAGCCGTGCACTAAGCCAGGCATTCACTGGCCTAGGTGGTTCTATTTTTCTCACTGTACTTAGAACCAGAAGATGTTAAGCAACCTCTCCTCAAAACCTTTACTTGTGTTTCATGTTTTATATGAATTGTAGTAATACTTTGTGTGCATGCATTAGTAACTCAGCTTCGTATTGGTCAATACATGGTTTTAGCAAAGAAGTTAAGAAATTAAGGATGTTGTAAAATAACTGTACACAGAAACCAAAATAGTGGTTGGAACTTAAGAAATCCTCTAAACAAGCCTGTTTTGCACAGGCTAAGGAAGGGGAACCTGTTTTGTTTCCACAGAGATGGTATTTGGCCAGGAATTTGCTAGGACATCAGACCCCACCTTAGACATCGAAATAACAAATCAGAATCTCCCATGAATGGCATAGGAATGCCCACATTCCTCCTGTTTCTCTGTGTTTCCAAGCTGGGCCTACATTCTGGGGGAGCCATATCCCTGATCTAAATCAGTTTTTATGTTTATGCAGCTATGTCATTGCAGTGAAATGTATGGGTGTGTCTGCGCTGAGAGGAAAGTGCATTCCCTCTTATATTTTAACCTATGCCATGGATTCTAGAACTAGATTACTGTAGCCTAGAGCATAGCAGTCATTCTTACATTACTGTTTCTTATCCACTCTAGTGGTAAGAGCACATGTGACAGCAATGGTGACAAGAAAACTAACCTTTCCATGAGAGCTTCATGCTCAGATTATCATGATGTGGGAATGGCAACTCTTCTTGTACTTCAAGAACTAACTTTCCTAACTGCTTGTTTGCTGCAACACTATTCATCCTCCTCAGTCCTAATGTTCATTATTGTGTGTCTCCATGACTTTTGTTCCAGTGAAAACTGATTTTGCCTGGGCTGTTCTAAGTTTCCATCTCTATAAAGGACAGCATTGAGTAAAGTGTAAGCTTATGTTTGCATCCACTTCTATTTATTTTTCTGTTTCTGGTTTGCTTGTGTATTCTGAAAGATGAGATTATAGCAGTATGAGGGTGCATGTTAGGGGAAAAACATTAAGGGAAACTTAATTGCTTCAGGACAGGAAATTTTTATTACATTCCAGATTTTTTTTAATTAACAAAGACTTGTCTGCATTTGAAATCAGTATATTATAGATATATATAAGCTTCCTACTCCTCCGTTGTAGGTTCCATTGCTCTTTGTTATCTCTGCATGAAGACCAACTTCCAAAGGAAAAAGACACCTTTATCTTGGATTTTCCCACATTCAAAGATCCATGGAGAGCCTCCATGAATAGAGGAGCTTCTCCTTTTTAATATGAGCTCAGTACACAAGAGCTCCATGGTGCAGTTGTTAAACTGCAATACTGCACTCAACTTTGTTTATGACCTGAATTCATTCTTGACACGTTCAGGCTTCTGGCTCAAAGTTGACTCATCCTTCCAAGGTCAGTAAAATTGAGTAACCAGCTTGATGGAGGGCAATTTTTGTTTGCATAATTATGTTGTAAACCACCCAGAAGCACTCCAGCAGAACAGCACATAAAAGTTGATGAAATAGCCAGCATGGTTAGGTGGAAGATGAGACTGGCACATGACTGAAGAGAACTATAAGCTCTGTTGGATCAGGTGTAGGGGTAGTGGTGGTCTGTAGTACAGTGGGGTCTCGACTTACGAACTTAATCCGTATTGGAAGGCAGTTCTCAGGTCGAAAAGTTCTTAAGTCGAATCTGCATTTCCCATAGGAATGCATTGAAAACCTTTTAATCCGTATCTGCTCTTTTCGTCCATAGAAACTAATGGGAAGCTGCTATTCCGCCTTCTGCCACTAGAGGGGGATATTTTTTCTTTTTTTCCTTTTAACCTAAGATAACTTAGCTTTAAAAAAAAGGGAAAAAAGAGTTCGTAACTCGAATCTAAGTTCGTAAGTCGAGTCCATATATTCCTATGAGAGCGGTTCGTAAGTCGAAACGTTCGTATGTCGAGCCGTTCGTAAGTCGAGACCCCACTGTATAAAAGAGAGCTGTGAAGGTGCTAAGATAGATAACCTACCATTTAACTCTTGTTAAACATGGAGGAAATAATGTTCAGAATTTTTAAAAAAATTATTCAAGATCTATCATTCTGAAACTGCCCAGCATCTCATGGTTCCATGAAAAATTAAAGTCTAGGGCATGCCAGAACTAGCACCTACATATGCTTCCTTTTGCTTTCTCTTATGCCCACTCTCCTGCTAGCTGGGCCTCTGTCATATTTGAACACATTGATTTGATCCTTGAAATATCCAGTCTTGGCATTTCCGACCATATCTAGTTTCTGTTGGCAGCTTCTATTTAAACAATTTAAATAAAAGCCAGAGATCCTTTTAAATCTCTTGTAGCAATTTCTGTGGTTAGCAATTATGTATTTCACTTTTGGGCAACATAGTTAATGGGCTAGTTATGTTGCCTGCCTCAGGGTGAAAAATACATCCTGTTTCCCCGAATTCTGGGTTGCTGCAGTGGAAGTACATGAAGGGATTAACAAGCAGCCCACTGAGCTGTGCATTCTTCAGAGTAGAGAGGCAAATTCAGTAATGAAGTGGTACATTTGATGATTGGCTGTTTCATTTCAGAATGAAAGGCTATTCACAGTAATTAGGCTACAGTAAAAATAAATCAAGCTGCTCTTCTGTTTGCCTCCCCTCCCGCCACCAAAAGTGACATGGTCATCAGATACAATGTAAAGAGGCATTGAATCATAATGCAGTATGTTCGTTTGCTTCTTCCCTGCTCCAGTAGTCTTGTTTGTTATTGAATTTAGATTTGCTGCTGCTACTGTGTTATCTTACTATTTCTACAAAAAAACACCACACATTGTGGGCTCTATGTGGGTGGGAAAGGAACATATTTATCACACACAAACACCACAAACTGCTATATACTCTCTGTGATTTTGTGCTAACCTGCTCATTCCTCTAAGTCTACTTAAGAGAGCATACCTCTACCACTGGCATACTGGCATGAGCAAGGTTCCCTCTAAGGTGTGTGGCTGTATGAGTGTGCAGTGCTGCACCCCTTTTCACACAGCATTCCTCCTCCACAAACCCACAGCAAGTATTTCCAGCCCCTTTGGTTCTGGTTGTGGCTGATCCCTTTGGGGGGGGTGGAGCCCTGCCCAGCAGGGCTGAAAATTAGAGGGAATGCTGGGCATGAGAAGTTCTGGTTTTATTGTACTTTCATCTTCCCAGTGAATCCTCAGAACTGTTATTTGAGGGACTGTGAATTTATATCTGAAAGAGAATTCTCTGTTGTTGTTGTTGTTGCATATTATCAAGTCACCTGCAACTTATGGCGACTCTATGATTCAGAGATCTCTAAAATGTCCTGTTCGTAACAGCCCAGCTCAGGGCAAACTCAAGCCTGTGGTTACCTCTAGGGAGTCAATCCATGTCAAACTTGATCTTCCTCTTTTTTTTGCCATCTTCAACCTTTATCAGTATTATTGTCTTTTCCAGAAAATCTTGCCCGCTCATGATGTGCCCAAAGTAGAACAGCTACAGTTTCATCATTTTTGCCTCCAGAGATAGTTTGAGCTTGATTTGATCTAGGACCCACTTGTTCATCTTTTTGATAGTCTAAGGTATCCACAAATCTCTCTTCTAGCACCACATTTCAAAGGAATCATTCTTTTCCCTGTCAGCTTTCTTTACTGTCTAGCTTTCACACTGATGCATGGCGATCAGAAATACAAGAGTGTGGATGATCTTGGCCTTGTTCTCCAGGGTCATATCCTTACACCTGACGATCTTCTGAGTCTCAATTTTCTTCTGATTTCTTGGCTAAATTCTCCATTTGGATTGATGATTGAACCAAGATATACAAAATATTAAACAATTTCAGTTTATTTATTATCTACATTAAAGTCATTGCTGCTTTATGCCAGTTAAGATAGAGTCTACTGTATATCTTAAATTATTGGTTTCTTCCACCCATTTTCACTGCTCCTTCATCTGAATCTAGTCTGACTTTCTGTATGGTATGTTCTGCACACAGACTGAACAGCTTAGGTATAGAAGGCTCCCTTGCCTGACACCTTTGCCTCCAAGAAACCATTCGGTCTCTCCTTATTCTGTCCTAACATTAGCTACTTGTCTACAGTACAGGTTACGCATCAGGATAATCAAGTGCTGAGGGATACAATTTCTTTCAGAATAACCCATAACTTCTCATGGCCCACACAGTCAAAGTCATTGCTGTAGTTTAGAAATCATAGACTGAAATTCTTTGGTGCACTCCAGTAGCCAGTGGGTATTTAAAATATGATCTCAAGCACCTCTTCCTTTTCAGAATTCAGCTTAAACATCAGGCATTTCTCACTCCATATAAAGTAAAAACCTTTGTTGTGATACCTTGAGTATGCTTGCCTGGGAAATTAAAGCAATGGGCCTGTAGTTACTGCAGTTCTTGGCATTTCCTTTCTTGGGGTTTGGAATGTATACAGTGGTGCCTCAACTTACAAACTTAATCCGTTCCGGAAGATGGTCATAACTCGAAATGGTTGTAAGTCGAAGCACCATTTCCCATTGAAATGCACTGAAATGTAATTAATACATTCCAGCCAAAGGAAAAAACCCAAAAAACCAAAACCAAAACAAAACAAAAACAAAAACTGCAAGGCCAATCGGAAACATGATTAATCCGTTCCGGCCAAAGGGGGTGGGGAGAACGCAAGCCAAGTGTGCAAGACACATCGGAAATGGGGAAAAAGCATAGCAGAAAGCAAGCAAAACATGAAAGACACGTTGGAAATGGGGAAGAAGCAAAGCAGAAAACAAACAAAGCATGCAAGACACATCGGAAATGGGGAAAAAGCATAGCAGAAAGCAAGCGAAGCATGCAAGACATTGGAAATGGGGAAAAAGCAAAGCAGAAAGCAAGCAAAGCATGCAAGACACATCGAAAAGGAGGAGGAAATACCAAAAAGCAAACAAACCCCCTGAGACCCATCACAGCACAGAAACGTAACTATCCCCAGGCCAAAACCATGCTGCAAAACCCACCCAGAACAGTTTTTAAAAGCAGAAAGCAACACCTTACCTTACCAGGCAGTCCGAAGCCTCCTCCGATCACACTCACTCTAAACGTTGCGGTGAAAGAGCTACAAAGAAGCAGCCTCTTCACCTACCAATGGTTAGCAATTTGAATTTCCCGTTTTTTCCCTGCCTTTTTTAAACTCGTAACTTGAAGCTCTGGCCACAAGTCAAAGCAAAATTTTGTGGCTGGAGCTGGTCGTAACTTGAAATGTTTGTAAGCTGGGACATTCGTAAGTCGAAGCACCACTGTATTGAATGTGGCCAGTTCTATGGGGCATTGTTTTCTTTTCCATATTTGTTGGCATATTCTTGCTAGAATTTTGACAGATTCAGTCTCTGTGGCTTGAAATAGTTCTATTGGTATTCCATCTACTCCTGGTGATTTATTTCTTCCTAGTTGTTTTAGAGAAGCTTTCAATTTACTTTCTGGAACGGCATGTTCTTCCTCATAGGATTCCTTTCAAAGGAGTCTGTCATCCCTTTCTCTGTTCTGTATAGGCCTTCAGTATACTGTTTCTACTTTCTCTTTATTTTATCCTGGTCCAGTAGCTTGCTTCCCTGTTGGTCATTCCAAAACTGCACTCATGATTCTGACCCTATTTCTGTCACCATTTATTTTTGCTTCTTGCTTGTGTAAGTATTTCTTCCATCATCCATCTAGGTTTTTCTTTTCTTTTTTACTATAGGAGTTGCATCTTTGCGTCCTTCCCTAATAATATCTCTGGTTTCAATCTTGTGGTTCGTAACCAACCATTTAGTAATGGAGATCTGTTCCTTATCTGGACTCAGTTCTTGAGGAGTTAAAAAAGCACACACACAGCCCCCCACGCCCAATGGTCTAAAATCCATTCTAGGTGGCTGTTTCCTGTGTGACCCTTTGTTCTACCCATTTTAACCATTATCTTTCTGTGAGCCCTTTCTGAAGTTGCCCTATTTGCATTAATTTCTAGGAGATGCATGGGTTGGAAGCTTTAGAAATCATTAATTTTTCTCCATGTTTAAACAGATTCCCCAATTCATCACATTGTAAATCTTAAGAGTAAGAATGTATGAATTAGTATTATCATTTGAAATAATACAATGAAAACCTCACTTTGTAGAAATCTAGTGGCAAATGGATTCTATTCAAGTTTAGAAATAGACATAAGAATATGATAGAAAATCTGTAGACATATACAGATTTTGCACTCTGGTGTTGTAAATCCTTGATACAGATTCTTAAAACAATGATAAAATTATTTGTAAAAGAATGGTAAATTGATAATTTGCAGATTTAAATGCTGACAGATGCATGGTCAGCAAAAATGTTAAAATATATGTACAGATAGGTGTAATAAAAAGAGAAGCTGAAGCATGTTCTGAAGGGTCATGAGT